TCAAGAATATATATACTTTATGGGGTCGGAAACGTCTCCTTCACTGCGTTGCAAACTTCTGACTGAAATCATAATACCCTCTGCAAGGGTATAAAAATAATATTTTTTTCAAATGATAAGTTTTAGAAAATATTTTAGTTTGAATGTTTTTGACCACAACAATTAAAAATAATTATTAGTTATAAGATGTCTTTCTTTTGAATGCATATATATGCCTATTTTAAAAAATGTTTATAACGACCCAGGACATTTATGGGATTGCTTTAAAAAGCTGAAGGCTAAAATTTCAGATTCTATTTTAACCACGAAACTTACTCTTTAGTTCCATAATTTGTATTACTATTTTTGGAAAGATTTTTCCTTTCTGTATTTGTGTTTTCGAGCCGTATGTTTCCTGGTGCTCTATGTGTTTGCGTATTTGCTGTTTGTGTGATGCAAATTTCTCGTGCGCCTGCTGTCAGGTTTTTGCTACTGCCGCTTCGCCGTTTTGTCGCTGCTGGCCGCTTCATTGAATTTTTGCACATCCCAGAAAAGTGTTAAAAAACAACCGGAGCAACGGCAAAAACAAAACTGCATCCATGGTGACTGCAACAAAGCGCGTTGTCGCCCACTTTTACCATTTACTGATTTATAGCTTTTCCTCCAGCTGCAGCATTTTCCGCAGCTCCCCGGAAAACGCCCCAAAAGTGAGCTACGCCTTTCTGCATTTCCCACTATAAATCAAAAGCAACAAACAAATTGATGCTGTTGTTGCTGTGTCGCTTTTGTTGCATAGCCACTGTGTTTAATCATTAACTTTTTTTTTTATTTTCCGTTTTCCGCTCGCTCTCCAATCCATTTTTATTGTTATTAATTAATCAGTGGAAATTGCAGCAAATAGCAAAAAAAAAAATAAAGGGTTTTTGGTAAGCAAAGTGCTGCGAGGAAAACGGTTCAACGACTTTTGGTATGCACTCTATATGTGGCGGGTCTAAGGTCATAAATTATGGTTTATCCAGGGGCTCTATATCTGCTGTTATAAAAATGACAAATTTTCAGAAAATGCTAATAATTTGTTTACACAGATAAATGCCCCGACTAAATATTTTTCTTTAATTCTTTCTTTTATTTGAAAAAGTAATTGCACGATAATCTAAAATAAATCATTCAATTAAACTGATTTTTTCAACAAATTAAGTAGGAAAATGTTTATGTTAATGTACGTGAAGTTGAAATAAATTTAATTTAATAAAAATCTCCAAGTTTAATTTATCAACTAAAATATACTTTCTTTTCGGTCTATCAAAATTCCCACACACTTGCTGAAATAGTAATTACTTTACTATTTATAAATTCAATAAGTTCAGCTTTTTGTTACCTATGTGTCAGCATAACTCATATGATTGCATTTACAAATTAATTTTCAGTTGCTGTGAAAAAATTGCGTTCATTTGTGAGTGCGACATTGAAAGCCCAAAAGTAAACACTTCATTCAACTGCCAGTTGACAGATAACCAAGACAAACACTCGCGCACACAGTGTCGCATTTATTGTTTGTAATATTTATAATTTTAATTAAATAACACATCATAGATTTTGATTAAACCGAGAGGAAGAGAGAGGCGGCTGATGGCTCACTTGGCAGCTGCAAACTGGAGAGGATGAGGAAATGGCTGAGTGACTGAGTGAGTGCTGGATCATCAGTTTCAATTTGGTTCCAGGGACAATAAACCATTTCCTTCTTGCACTCGAAAAAAAATATATTTTAATAATTTACAAATGATTATATTTTTTACTAAGTAAGTGTGGTTTAAAGTTTGTTTGTAAAAATTATACATTTAAGGGAAATTAATAAAATATAAAAATATATTCATAAAATGTTTCGTAATTTTTTCTAGTGCATAATATAGATAATGGGCGGGGTGGCATTACGCCCACTCTCGCATTGAGGTCACTCCAGTTTGACAAATGTCAAATGGCATTTAACGGCATTTGCACAAATCATTACGATTAACAAATGAGTGCGGGTTCCATGAAAATTGCGAGTCTTCTCAGAGTAAATTACTTCCAAGAGGGCGACGACAGTTTTCTGACTGAGAGTGCACTTCCACCAGCATGATGGTTAACTCAATTCCCGCTGATTCACTCCCCAGACTTTGATTGTTTACCCTCTGACACAGAAAAAGAATACAATTGAAATATCTTGTGGGCTGTTTTCAATTTGCTTTCGAGCGCCTCATAAAAATGGCAAATTGAGTGCCGCCCCCGTTGCGAACCCGACAGATATAGTATTCGAACACCTCCCCGTTCCCGATCCATAGATCTCTAACTAATTGCCCCAGCACGCGTGCCATAATTTCTGGACGTTGTTTTTTGGCTTCGCAGGTAAACAACTGCTCTCGACCATCTTTTGTTTTGGCCATAAAGTATCCCTCGGAAAAAGCGCCTTCATGCGGCTCCGGCTCCTTGGGGACCTCTTAAACATTTCGCCTGCCGAAAAATGCACCCCCCACCAGCCGTAATAAAATTTCTAATTGCAACGAAAACACATTTCGAATTTCAATGCACTGCAGGTGCCCAACCGAAAACAAACCACCAAATGTGTATCAATGGAATTAATTGTTATGAAAATATTGTGCCGGTGCCGATTGATGAATTGTGTGGGTGGGGTATATTGAGAGACTAGTTCTGGTCTAGGTTGGTAAATAATTTTGAGGGTGTGAGTCAGAGATTAAATTTGTGGGAAATATTATGGTGAAGAAATCAGATGTCTGATTATTATATATTAATTTATGTACCTATATTTCATATACATATACATATTAATATAACTATTTTCAATCAATGATTCCCGATGAAGTCTTTTTGTTTTCTTTTACTTTATCATCCCTCCTCTAACAAAAAATCCATTAATGTTTTTTTCTATACTTCCTTGCCTTTGTCAAACTGTTGAATGGTTATTTAGCTAGGTATTTCTATAAATATTTATTTTTATTTTTATTTTCTTTGCATATTATATTCATAGTTCGCTTTTATTAAAGAATTCGTTGTTCAACTGTTGAATGGTTAATTTATTTTTTATATTTCCTTTGCTGCCCATTCAAATCTCTTATTTTTACTTGTCCGTCCGTTTACTTGTCCGTTAACTAGTTTCCTTGCTATCAACACTGTCTAATAAGCACCGCAGATTGTAACAAAACCTTATGTCCTGTAGATACTAAACCCCCCGTTCCACTTCTCCACGCAACCCCTAATCCTTCTCGAGGCCTAAAACCCAAAATGCAGCTCAACATTTGTCAACGCAACGTCAGAAACAACAATAACAACAGATATAGCAGCAATAATTCGATCGTTCAGGTAACTTCTCCATTTGGCCACTTGGGCTTTTTGGCTGACCGCATTCAGTTGGTGGAGAATACCGGCCGGCAGTTCTTGGTTCTGCTGCTGCCATTAGCAATATAGCCAAATACCCCGCACAGTGGGTGCTCCAGTCCCCCCAAAGCCCTCCTCTATTGCCAACCCCTCGCGTTGCCCAACCCCCTTTGGGCTGTTAGCCAGGCTTTTGTTTTTGTGTACTTGCGAGAGCTCCAGACGAAAAGAGCGATATTTAATATGAGAGGATCATGCGCATAGAGTGTTTCAATTCCGTTTTTCAAAAAACATGCACTTGTTTCGTTTTTGAAATTCCACCTACATATTTCGATTTGAATTTCAAATATATTTAAACGTTTTCATTCCAAATATGAGGGGATCGAACTATTTTAGATCTTAGATAGGCTATTGTACTACCAACTTGTCCTGAATCTCTTATGTTTACACAATACATTAATAAATTAAAATTCAATTGGAACAAGATCCTATGTTTTTGTTAAGATTTAATAAATTTGGTATTTCGGTTTTTTAATTTTATCTGTTTTGAGCAAGTAGTTTTTGGAGGAAAACTTTATTTAATTACGACGGGTCACGTGGCCATGTGTAAGTAAGCGAAGCCCTTTACGAGTTTTAAAATTAATTTGAATATCCGAAATGAAGTTTAATTCTGGAATATAGCTGGGCAAAAATTTGGCGCGGGTTGTAAATCCATTTATATAATATCTTTTATTCTGAGAAAAAAAGAAATGTTTGACTGTTGGCCATCATTTTTTTCACAGCTTACTTACCTTTTTAAGCGGACATTCCAGTGGTAAATTGCCAACTCGACGGATCTGCATCATCGTCATTTTAAGTAAAAAATTTGATTCCACACTTGATAGTAACTGACAATAGTTCAGTTCCATTGTTGTAAAATTGGTCAAAAGTGCACCTCGTTGTATTGTTAAAATGAATATTCCATCGGCGTATTCAACATCTTGCGCTAAAGTCATCTCTACATTTATTGATCCCAGTCTTTGAGCTGTCCTATTTAAATAACAGCTGGCATTTTTTACTATTTCAGGCGCATAATTAAAAATTTCAACGTTTGTCAGGTATACATCCATCTTGTAAATATATAAAATATTGTTGTAGTTAGAACTCATATTTTTCATTTAGTTTTCTAACCTCTGCAAAAATACTGCTCAGCATGATTGTTCCTAAAAATAGTTCAATTAAAGGGAAAACGCTTTTGATGTTCATTTCCGTGGCTAACTAATTGTTGACTAAACTTCCAATATTATGTTTTTAAAGTACAGAAGTCCAAAAAAACCCCGATGTCTGATGACCAATTAATTGTGTTTAAATGTGTTCAATTATTTCGTTACCGCTCAATGAATCTATTAAAATCCAATTCGGTGTGAGACAAAACGTTTTATTCTTCTTTTGGCTCAAATTATTCCAGTGAATGGATGCCCACATGTTAGCATACATTGTATTAAAATGTATGTTTTTTTTTTCCACCATTAATTAATGGTTGAAAGAAATTGTCAAAAAAATCTTTCATAACGGTAATTAATTGAGACCAATTAAAAAAAGTTCAATATTTTTTTTTATTTTTAAAGCATAATAGTTTACCCAGAAAGTTTAAGACCTACGTACATATAATATCAAGGACGAAGGCTACCGTGAATAATTAGCCGACATGCTCTGCGATCCTTAAGGTTTATATGGGCATCCGAAATAAAATTCATTTCTGGTAGATATCTTGGAATTAATTTTGAATTGATTGTAAATCCTTTAACATAATATCGCTTATTCTGAAATACATTTTACAAAATATATTATACGTAATTCACAATTTGTAACCACTTAATTTACCATTTTGAAAGGACATTCCAGTGGGAAATTGCCAATTCGTCGGATCTGAGTGGTAACCATCTTAAGTAAAAATTGAGATTCCACACTTGACAACAGCTGACACAAGTCTAGTTTCATTGTAGTTAAGTTTGTCATGATCGATCCTCTTTTCATCGTCAATATGTATATACTTTCAACGTCTCTTACATCTTGGGCCAAGGCAAACTCTATGTATAAAGAACTAGTGCTTTGGGCTGTTTGATTTAAATGGCAGCTCACGTTTTTTAGAATTTCTGGTACATAATTAAGGCATTCAACGTTCGTCATGTAAGCATCCATCTTATTCTATAGATTGTAAAAATGATTTTACTAAGCATTTAAATGTTTAAATTACTCCACTAACCTTTGCAAGTACTCTGCTTAGCATTAAAATCGCCAAAGACAATTCAATCCAAGTTAAAATCTTTTTGACGTTCATTTCAGCCGACTTCTTGTGATTGACTAAATAACAAATGAACATATTTCGACCGCGGATATGAACGAGTAATAAAGTAATTGTGTTTTAATGTGTTCAATAATTTTTTTACATTTTTGATATCATGTTCCGCACAAAAGTCATTTTTAATTACTATTCGGTTCAAGTGTTTTCAATGTTTTATTGAATTTGTAATAATAAAAGGAGTAACCCATTTCTATGAACGTTTCTTCAATTTCAGTTATAAAGTTTTTAGGGGGCGTATATTATTCCAAAATGTGCAACACAGTTAAAAATAAAAAACTTTTTTTCTTTTCAAAAATACCTAAAAAAATTTTTTTTTAAAAAGACACAAATTTTAGGCTTGTTTGACTAGTGCTTTAAACATTTCAAGGACCAGAATCTTCTTTATTTTGGTCCGATTTACTTTAATATACTCTATATGTTGACAAATACAATATAATGGAATTCAATTATTTTTTATAGACGTTTTCATTTAAAGTTTTATTAAAAAATGAAATTATTGACCTCGACCAATACGGCCCTTGGTAATTATTTGAAACCCTTTTCGATCCTTTAAATTTATCTGAAAGTCCGAAATAAAGTTCAACTCCGGTACATAGCTCGGTATAATGTTGGCACCGATTGCAAATCCATTTACATAATAACGCTTGTTCTTAAAAAATTGGAACAATATAAAACAAGACTTTCAGTTTTAAATAAGCTTACTTACCTTTTTCAAAGGACATTCCAGTGGAAAATTGCCAGTTCGACGAAACTCAGTCACCGCCGCTCTAAGATAAATCTGAGATTGCACACTTGATAATAACTGACAATAGTTTAGTTCTATTGCAGTAACGTTCCTCAAGTGGGAACCTTGTTTGATCATCAACATGAAAGGGCCATGTGCGTAACCAACATCTTCCGTCAAGGCAAGCTCTAAACTCAGTAATCCAGGTTTTTGGGATCTTCTATTTATATGACAGCTTGCATTTTGTATTATTTCTGGTGCATAATTATGGCATTCAACCTGTGTTAGGTAAACTTCCATTTTGTCGCATTTATGATAAATATTCTTGTTGTTAAAACTTCTATATTTTATTTATTTTACTGACCTTTGCAAGAACACTGCTCAGCATTAAAATCCCCAATAACAAATCAATCCAAGAACAGAGCATTTTGGCGTACTTTTCAGTGAATAACTACTTCTTGACTGAATAACAAATTCATGTTTTTAGAGCACCAAATTCCCTGATGGCACGACTGATTAATGAAGTAATTGTGTTTAAATATTCTCAATTATTTCGTTACCGATCAATACTTCCGTTGGTAAAATCATAAATTTAGATTTATTTAGTTCTATTTTAAAAAGTTTTGTAAAATAGCACGTTTTTAATGTCGACGGGCTACACGTCCATGGGTAATCAAGCGAAAACCTCTACGATCCTTAAGATTTATATTGATATCCGAAATAAAGCTCAGTTCTGGAACATAGCTCTGCAAAAATTTAGCATTGAGTGTAAATCCACTAACATAATATCGCTTATTCTTAAAATAAAAGGAATATTGGAAAAAGGTTTGCCCACATTTATTAATCAGCTTACTCACCATTTTCAAGGGACATTCCAGTGGCAAATTGCCAATTCGACGGATCTCAGTCATCGCCATTTTAAGAAAGAACTGTGATTCCACACTGGATAACAGCTGGCAGTAGTTTATTTCCATAGTAGTAAAGTTTCTAATGTTCGAACCTTGTATCACCGTCAATATGTAAATGCCCTGGGCATATACAATATCTTTGGTCAAGACAAACTCTATGTTTAGAAAAGTAGTTTTTTTTGCTGTTCTATTCAAACGACAACTTATATTGTGTAGTATATCTGGTATGTAATTAATACATTCAACGTGTGTCAGATAAATATCCATCTAGTCGTATGGATAATAAATATTTTTGGAGTTAGAACTGGCATGTAATTCATTTTACTGACCTTTGCAAGAACACTCCCCAAAAACAAGCCAATCAAAGCCAAAAACTTTTTAACGTTCATTTCAGCGGGTAACTTATTGTGGACTAAATTACAAGTTTTCATTTTTAAAGTACCGATGTTTCAAATACTAAGGGTCGATGGTAATAATGAGTTCAATAATGAGTTCAATTACTTCGTTATCTATAAATACTGCTGTTAATACCCTATGTTCGAAAGTTTTTTGTCATTACCTATTAAAAGCTAGAATATTTAACATTTTATATTTCATTTTTAATAAGCTTCACAATAAGAAGTGAACATAATGCATAATACTTAATTATATATTTTTATATATATTTTTTTATATATATTTTTATATTTATATTTATACACATATGTATCTTACTAAAGATTTTTTAAGCTCAAAATTTATATTTCCGACTTGTTTCCGTATTTTTTCTTTTCTTATGACTTGTATCCACCCAATTATGCCATATTTTTTTCATTTTTAAAGTCAATAAATAAATAATAAATAAAGCTTAAAAAGTAAGGTTTATTTCTGTATTCCATACATCCTTCTAAATACCGTTTCCAGATTTGAATTTAACGTTTCCAGTCAATCTTTCGTTACGTGATAGCGGGTGGAGCTTACGTTCTACGTATCTGTTCCGTTTGCCAATTCGTTTCGCGAGCTTTTTGGACCGGCGCACAGATGACCGCTCTCTTTCTCTCTTCCGTTCTTTATTTCTGCCTCCCCCGCATTTCTCACTGTCTCTCTCTTTCTCTGGATTTTGCAAAACAAAACGGCCGGCCGTTTGGAAAAGTCGGAAGAAAGTCAGTTAGCAAGTGGAAATCACCGGAAAAACTACACAGCGCGGCAGAAGGAAAATCGCGAAGTCACAGAAAACTACACCGCAGACGGGAAATAAGCTGAAAAAAACAGCCCCAACAGGCAGCGCAGTCGACGACGGCAGAGCGTAGGGCTGATAACAAAAGTTAATAACAATAACAAAGCGAAAGAAAAACAAAGGAAAGAAAGAATGAAAAGAAAATAACTAAATACCGAAAACAAACAAACAAAAAAATCGCGCTTTTAATTAACGGACATTTGTCGTGGCAGCGCAGTCGGCGTCGCAGTCGCCGTCGCGTGTGTGTGTGCGTGAGTGAGTGTGCGTGAGTATCTGTGTGAGCTGGCGATATAAAACTGCAATTGATTGCAATTTCGGCGGCATTTGCAAAATAGCAAGCCGGCGAAGAACACAAAACCAAGAATCAATAAACAAACAACAAAATAAATACAAACAAGCCGCATAAAAAACACGACAACAAAAACACAGCCAAACGGTAAAGATACAAAACAAAAAGCTAACTCATATGTGTATCTAAAAAAATAACAAAAAGCTATCGCAAAGGGAAAAGCGTAGCACTTGCATTTGTGTGAGCGCAGCTGTTGATGAAAGTGAAGGAAAAATCATTCACATTTTCTACGGGAAAATGGGGAAAACAACAACAGCACGCACTCACACAGTTGCAAAATATAAAAGAGAGCCCAGAGAGCTAAAAACTCAAACTCAGACGACGCCAAGTTTTCCGCTTTTCCGTTGTTTGCATTTTATTTTTGTTTTCTGTTGTGTTTTTCGCACACAGAGAGGAAAATGCACGAGTAACTTAAAAGTTCTTAAATACATTTTTAAAAGCATTTATATCTGAATTTTCTATGTGAAATTTTAGTTTAGGGGAATCATTTTTAAAGAAACAAAATGTTGTATATTTTACACAAGCGTTTAGTTTCTTTTAAAAATAACAACATACGAATAGCTGCAATTGCCTATTGTTTTTAATATTTTCAAAAGATACCACTGGTACAAATTTTAAATTTATAAATACTATACAACATTATTTTTTTCCGTTTATATTTTAAAATTAAATTTAATAACAAGCTCATTTCTACTGAAATATTTTCAAAAATCAGGTCTTGTGAATGGGAAACAAAGAGTAATAGTTCCAATAGATAAGTTCCTTCAAAAAAATAAATTATTATTTTCGGAAAATATTTTTTTATTCATCATTTAATGATAAGGACAGAAAATCATTTTGATTCAATAGATGTGTTATTTTAAATGTATGTTAAACTCATTTAAGTTTTTTCCATTCACAAGATTAAAATTGATTCTAAAAATAAAAAGCAAGATTTTCATTTATTTCCAATTTAGATGTAATTGGTGTTAAATACATATAGCTTATCAAGTTAAACTCTTTAGAATATGTTGATCATAGTTTTCTGAGTTTGTTCTTTGTGTACATTTACGAGTGGATTTTACAAGCCAGACATCGCTGTTGTTTTTCTGCGAGTATCTCATAGTTGGCTGCAGAAAGTATCTAGATTCTTTTTGGCGAGTTTCCTCCTTTTTTTGTTTGGCTGTCTGTTTATTGAGACGCCTCTTCAAGTTCGCTTCCTTAACAACTCCTCGCTTTAATTCCATAAATTTAAAACAGAAATAAATTCAGCTGCTGGCGAATATTTATATATTTCTTTGCACTCGCATGTTGGCCGGCAGTCAAAGTAACACTCAACTTCAACTTCTGTCTGCGCTCTCTAATTGAGTTAGTCTGGCATTTGAATGGGAGCAGCGAAACACACGCATCACTTCTGGTCGAAAAGGGGCGGAATGGTATTAGCAGGAAAAGGGGGCGGGCCGGCTGCCAGACTCAGCGGGTGGGAAACTTGAGGGCGGAGGGGGTCACAGCCTAGCCCGTGTGTTAAATTATGCAAAACGCTCAGGGAATGCCGGAGCAATAAGTGCAGAAATGTTTACAGACTTTTGCCAAGAAACCAAATTATTCATATTTGAGTTTGGGTTAAAACAAATAGGAATTCGTTGATTTTCAGTACACATTTTCCGATTTCTACCGAACCCCCTTTTATTTGATTTTTTATAATTTTTCTCATTAAAAAATATATTCCTTACTATATTGATATTAAAGAACACCGAAAATCATATGTCGAAAGTAAAAAGTAATATTTGCTAAGATAAGATCAGTGTAAATGCAGCTCATTTCTTATAGTCTATATTTTTCTCGAAAGGATCATATTAATATTCCTGGAATAACTCTTAAAATGTTAGAGATGTATAATTTTTTTCCAAAGAAATCCCTATTGTGTTAATGCAAATTATTTTTAAACTATTCCGTACACCAACTGGTATCTCATTTATATCTTTGCAAAGCACATCCATAAAAAGCAACCTACCATTCCGTTTAAAACAACTTTTTTATCATTTCCCTGCCCACGTACAAGCACACATATTTTTGTTGGGCATTTTAAAGGGTTAACACACGCTTTACGACTGCCAAACTTTTTCACGTTAGCCTTTGCTGCTGGTCCTTTTATTTTGTGAAAATGTTTGGCATTTTTTGTATTAAATTGTCAGTGAAACGAGCGTTGGACCGTTTCCGTGGGGCATGGCATGGCAACAATTCAAAACGTGAACTGCCACTAAAACATGCCAAAAATCTGCGCATTTAAAATATTTGCCCCAGAGCCCATTGAGAGTCAGCCAAGCGATGGCCGGAAAGGGGAGGGAAAATCCAGGCATTTTCCTACGATTTGATTTAGTTGTTGTTGGCTGGGTTACACCTTTTCACTCACACCTGTCGACTGTGTTGTTCTATTTTTCTTTTTTCCAACACCATGTCTGCGTTTTTATTGTCCCTCTGCCTGTCTTTTGTTTTCTGTTTAACTGCTGTTTACGCCACTTGCACGTGATCAATAATTAATTTGCAATATCTTCTTTAGGTTCGTCAAATCAAACGGACCCCAAACGAAATAGACACCGAAATCATCAGTCCGATGTAGCGAAAGCAATTATAATATACAAACATGAAACCATTCCGTTCCGTGCCGTGCTAATGCAAAACGTATACGATCCGAAACCGATAAAAATACAAATACATAAACCCAAGTGAAATATCAATTTTACAGCCCACTGGAAATCAAATATTGCAATTGCGTTGCCGAATTCTGTAATAATTGAACATCAAAGGAACTATTTTTGGAGGTGAGCTTTACAAAACAATTTGACGCTTAAATATGAATATTTTGAAATAGTACAAGAAATTCTAAAAGTCTTCGTAGAAATGGTATAAAAGCAGCTTCAGTAAAAATAAATATATTTAATAAAAACTTAACAATTGACGAAATTTGTAAAAATCTTCAAAAACCATTAAGCTCTAACTACAAATATTGTACAGTAATTAAAACATTTAAAATGATTTAAATCTTGTGAACAATAATGTTTTTCCATACTCTCGAAAGGCTGGACTTTCCCCAATCAAATATTTTGAGCACAACTTTGCTTCACAGCTTGGTGTTATTATTTTCATATGTTGATTGCCTATAGCTTTTCCTGGACTTCTGTTTATCGACTTCAATTTGCTCTCAAACACCGAACCCAAAACTCAATTGGAAATGCAGGGAAAGGCAGGAAAATGGGCTCACGGGGAGAGAAAAGCCTAGACAAAGGGGACAGGGAATTCGGGAGAGCAGGCGGAACAGAGCATAATCCAGAAAACACCATTCAAGGGCAACTTTCACCAGTTCGCTTGATGGGCGAGGAGCGATTTGGGAGGGGTGAGAGGTCAAACCACCCGGTGGCAACTGCCCATCCATCGCTTAACATTTTCGTCTGCCATTTTCATTTCTACCAGGGAAAACTCTGCCGCAGTGGTCGGCCGCATTGGCAGTTTTTGGGTCTCCACAGACATCGGACATACATCACAAGCCCAAGTTCAAATTTCCTACTTCCTCTTTTCGGCCCCTCCTCCCCCCGGAGATCCTTCTGCCCCCGCCCCCCGCCCTTCATCTTCGCCTCTTGCCTTTTTTATGAGTGGCAAAATTGTTGTTATTTTTGCCGAGTTTTCCCCCAAAAAAAGAAAATCGGGAAAAGCAGCTAGAAAGTGTACAGAGGGAAAAATTTACGTTATCCCCCAATAGATGTCACCAAACTGATATTATTTTGATGTAAATTTAGATACAAAATTAAAAAAAATTTTAAGTTTGACCTATAAATATTTTAAATAAAAATTGTTAAAAAATGTTGTTAAAAAGCAATGAAATTTTTTTTTCTTTCTTAATATTTCTTAAGCAAATTGTTTCTATTTAAATGCGATTTCAGACTGATTAATATTTAAATTGAGTTATGATAATATTTGGATTAGTAACCAGATATTATTATTAGATAATTATGCCAAGGGTAAAAACATATAACATTTTAGTTCCCGGTGTAGGCGGAAAATAAAGAAGGAAATTTTTTGAAAATGCCTGCCAGCAGAAGAAGCAGCAGGAGCAGAAGACGGAGGCAAGGACATGGAGTGAAAACAGTTGCCGCCGTCTGTCGTTTGTCGTCCTTCGTCTGTCGCAGTCGCACCTTCCATTCCACCCACAAACCCAGCAACACACCAACCCGTCCACCCATCAACCACCCCCAAAACGGCAAAGGCGGCATCCATCCAAGTCCGTCGACCCGGGTTTTCCCACATAACGATGCAGCACCATCGGCTGCCTGAGAGGCGGGCGGCATTTTCAACAATTTCCACATTTTATCTAACCACCCCCAAAGTGTCGACTGCAGAATATACGTATATATAAAAAAGGGAAAATTCTGCGGGGGAGAGACCAACGGGAGCGAGAGAGTTCAAAGAGAGGCGAGAGCCACGGGGAAATGGGGAAAGCCGGGGGAAAAGTGGGGAAAGGCAGACAAAGAGAGCGTAGACGCTGCAGACTTTGCTCTAGTGCTCTGTTGTTGTTATTTGCCATAACCTTGGCGAAAAAGGGGTATAGCCACTTTGTTGTTATTTCGAATAGGACCCAAGAAGGGACCTCTTTTAGGGTATATTCAAAATACATTTTTTTTAACTTGATAATTTTGATCTTTTGAAGATATTAGCAGGACTAAGGTATAGATTAGTATATCGGTTATTTTCCAATTGTTCTCTATATGGAATATTAACTTATTTTAATTTCATAATATGTTAAATTATTCAATTGAAAGAACGTTTAACTTGGTTGTAGCTTTTCATTATTTTATTCGAATTAAATGATGATCGTTTGATATCGCAAACAAATACTTCTGTAAATAAGGTATTGTGATCGACATCCATTTTTGAATGAATTCTGTGAAAAATAATTCTGTTATCGAACTGGATCTAGAAATCTAAGTTCCACAAAATTCCAAATATTCTTTTCAATTATGTTAACATTAATTCGTAAAAAGAAACCCATAAATAATGTTCTTTAAGATCTTTAGCATTTTCTGATTAAAAATTCCCCCGGAGATGCTCTCTTGGCCCCACGTGATGCTTTCCAACTTTTTCGCCAAAAAACATTTAAACTTTTTTCCAAAACTTTTGTTTGTTAGTTTTTCTTTCTCCTGTTGCCATATTTCCTATTCTCTTCACCTTTGCACCTAGACAAATCACACAAACTGACACAAGCCAAAAATAAAGAAAAGAGGAAAACAATTCCGAAACGTGTTTAACATTTTCATCTTCATTTCGCATTTTAAACAATTTTTCTTTTGCGGAACTTTGGTCTCCAAAGATTTTCTAACCCTTACAATGGGGAGAAAAGAGAGGAAAAAGAGAAAATTGTTTTTCTTTTTGCTTTAATTTCGGCAATTTTTCTTGTGCCAGAAGAAAAATCGAGTTGTCGTTTGAGGGGTTCCGGCTTGCGTTGGGTTTTTCCGGCGAAAGCCCCTCCGCATTGAAAATTGGGGGTTGCTTTCCTTGCTTTCTTTTTGGGTTTTCCTCTTTGCTTTTATTTTTTTGGTTAACTGCTACTGCCTTTTGCCGTTGTACTCTCCACTTTTGTTGTATGTTTATGCGCTACGCGTTTTTCCTAAGATTGACTTTGACATTAGCCCCACAAAATACGCACACACATATAGCTTTCGACACGCTTCGTTGTTGTTGCTCGGGTTGTCCTGTCCGCCATGTTGTTTTATTTTAGCACATTTACGTCATAATGGCATTTCCTTCCGCTACTTTTTTCCTTCGGCTTTCCTTTTCAGCCCGAACCCGAGCCTCTGACTTTTCCTCGTGTTGCCGTAATTTTCATTGTGTCTGCTTTGGAAAATTTATCTTAGGCCCTCTGTTGCCTTAAATTTTCGCCTCATCTCGAGGTCCTTTCTCGGGTTTTATCGTCTGTTTGTTGTTGCTGTAATTGCCTTGCTTTATTGTTGCCATTCGCATTCTATTTTCCTGTTTTTTTTTTGGTTTCTTGTTTGGCTGTTTATTTAATTTGATTTCATTTTGATTTTTATTAGTTTTCATGCGTCGGTGGCCTAGTTCTGGATTTATTTTTTGAGGGATTTATTTCCGCGGCGGCGGCGGCATTTTCTTTTGTCTGCCAAGAAATAGCCAAATATTTGAGACTGTCAAGGCTCACACACTCTCCGCCAATCTCACACCCTTAATTAACTTGATGGCACTGAAAAAAATTATATAACAAAAATAATAAAAGAAGTATATATATCTAAAAGCTTAGAAATAACTTTCAAAATGGATCTTGTATGAATATTTGGTTGATGAATATTAGTTTTTTTAATATTAGTTTAAGAGGGTTCCAGTTTCCCTTCCGTTTATCTTAATAGATAAATAGTAAAATAATTAGTTGATTTTCTCCCAGTGCACTTGTAAGTAATGTAAGTTTCGCCTGTGCATCCATCTATCCACCGATCCACCTATCCATCCAACCCCTGCGGCAGGCAGACCGCAGCATTGACAGGGCATTGACAATGATTGATTACCTACCCGAAAGTGGAAACTGTTTTTAGGGCTAACCAACATTAAGCGTTACCACCCATCACACAGACCACCCCCTCCAACTGCCCCTCACCTACACAGCTACACAAAAACACCCACACACACGCATTCGCATTGAACCTGCCACGCACAAAAAATTATTTCATTATCTTTTTGTCCGTTAGCTTTTCCTCGATTTCCCCCCATCCAAGTTAATTGTAATTACACCTAGATAGTCGCACGATTAGATTCAATTTGTGGGACCTCTCGCTTATCTTCAGCTTTAGCTTTTCGATTCTTCTCTGAAACTGAGGTAATCTGATTCGTTTTTGTGTACTGTACAAATTTAGTTTCAGGTGATTTTGTAATTTCAGTTGTACACTAAATTAAAGACAATTAAGGGGGACACAACTGACTTGTTCTGATAACTCTGAACAAAAAAACGTTACGAAAGTTGGGCTAAAGTGACATGGGTAGTCGAGATTTATGAAGAGGCACTCATTGAATTGTGCCATAGAACTCGCTTGGTTGACAGTTAGTTGAGATTTACGATGACGACAATGGCCACTCGGGATCTGAAATGTGAAATGAGAGCGGTTTGGGTAATGGCTCTATCCCAGCGATAGTGTGGCAACCCTGGTCGAACGCAAAAACTGTCGAAACTTATATTTATTGTCCGTAATTTATGAGTTAATATATATAAAGTGAGAAGTGTAATGTTTATGAGCTCCACTTGCACCAAGATATTTTTATTTTCTTGAACCAATATTTTTAACAACATTATAATAACAGTAATAAGAATATATAAAATTAGTTTCAAAAAAGAATGATCAATTTATAAAAAAATCTAAAAAAATCATAGATAATATTCTACAAAATTTTTGGATAGTTGACTTTTCAAATACGTTACAAAGCAATATTTAATCGAATAATAAATGATATGCGATGAAAAGATCCGTTAGAGGGCCTTTCAATACAAAAATGAAATATTCAAAAAATTACCCCCATCTTGACACATTAATTAAATTGTTCCTCAATGCTTAGTATACTTTCTCCTATCCTTAGTCCTCCTCCCTGAGTTTGATCAACATTCAACCCCAAATTAGGCCCCAAAACTGGAATAAACAAATGTAGACACCCTTCGATTGTGGGACCTCCTTGAGCACCATAATTATTTCACTCCGATCCGCTCATTATCAACCCCAAAAAAGTGAGGGAAGATCCCCGTAATTGCAAAGTCCTACATCTGACACCCATC